AAAATTAATTCAGAAAAATCCTCGATTTTTTATTTATGTCGCGAACTTTTGTAGTTAGTTGAAAGGATGAGACGACCTCTGCCACTATGACTCTCTTTCTCTTCTCTTCTTTTCCTCTCATGTCAGCCAAGTCGCTTTAAAGTATGCACTGTCGCCGACGTCCAAGAGAAGATCTAAGTTTAGCGAGATGCCGCTGCCTGCGGGGGCCACGAGGTCATTAAAACGATCAACTTTTCAAAGGCCCTCGCTAGCACCAGCCCGGTCATTATAGAGGACATTATATATAACAGACATAGAATTTTAATACCAATGGAGGAAAGAAGGAAGCAGAGGAAGAAGAAGGAAAAGTCGGTCGCGTTTTTACACGTTTCGCCTCTTTGGCCAAGTGAAACTCGCGTCGGGTACTGTAAAATCATTAGGATAATCAAGTCCGAGTGAAACCGGCCGAATATCGAACTTCTCAGCCGGAAGATTGAAAATTCTCAGAACGTGTGGAACTTTGCCAAGTCGCATAACTTGCCTAAAAATGCGCTAGCGCGTTTACGAGGGCAGAACCGACGCCTTCTGTTCTCGATAAATGCAAAATTATTTCCCCCCTTCTATCATGAGTATTTTAAAGTAAAATCAGATAATATCAAAAAAGATGGGATATTTAAAAAGGTGTATATATAATCGCGAGAAATAGATAATGGGAAAGTTTGTCTGTTAAAAGTTAAAGAAAGGTCTCAGCTTAGTATGATTAAATGTGATATATCTTACGATAATTCCTACTTCGTTTATTTAGTCTGTCAATCAACGTGAAATGAATTTCGTTATTCGCCTACAGGAGAAGTCCTCCTGCCATTTCACACCGTTAAGATGAGCTATGAACGGAAGTTCGATTCAGAGAACCTAGTTCCGCCTTCGTTCTATCTCGTGCTCGCGCTAATGGTGCCTAACTCAATTCCGAAAGGTCGAAGGTTGGACACGCGACTCGGCGAACTCGTAATTCGACTTTCAAGAGTCGCCCAACTCCATTTCTCGTGAACGAGATAGGGTCTCCTATATAGATAGGAGAGACGTTTAAGTAAAAATTATCTTGTCACTGGTGCAAGTTAAAAAGAGAATTGTGCCTCGGTTTTATACGAAGAAAATATTTCAAAGGTTTAATCAAGATCACTCAAACGTATTTTGGATACTGAACATAAAAGGCTTGATATCATAAAACGCTTTTAACTATTCAATATTAAATAAAAATTCATTGAAAATAATTTGAGAATAAAAAATACTCCTCCGACGTTTTTCTTTCCTCGGAGTATATAAATTTTATATCCAAGTTTTCTTTCTTTCTCTTCTTCTGTATTAATACATATTATACATTGATCAAATATACATATAAAAAATATAATTATATAATTATATTCTTGCAATGATCATATTAGATAATTAGATATCACATTTGAATCTCTGGTTCGTTGGAGGTCTTCCATTTAATATCACAATATTTATCTTCGCAGGCAAATGTCGGAAAATTCACGATAACAACAAAGCGTTTCTTCGGGATCGGATAGCCGCGTTTAGAGCGTTAAATATATGGAATTAGTAGATACAAGGACTAAATAGGTTAAACACTCGAAAAATCGCAGATGCCACGATGAAGACTTCCGCAGACTAAACACGATAATAAACCCCTGCACGCTTGCAAGATCGCCGGCACTCGCTAGCGTCGAATCCGGGGGAAACGAGGGATCGTTTTTTTTCCGGTGGACGATAGTACCGCCTCGGGCAGTTCAATGGGGGATGCGAGAAATCCGGTCGGTTTCCTTTGCAGTAGCCGCCTCTACCCCCTTCCCCCTTTCCCCGCACGAACCAACGAACGGTTAACTCGATTCCGGCAATTTGTGCACTCGCGAGTCTTACGAGCACTCGATTGCATCCGCAGATAGCAGACTGGATTGCAGATATTCTGTATATACTGCCGAGAGTTACACAGGCTGATTGAAAATCGCGTGTCCCGTAAAATCGAGAATCGAAAAATTTCAAAGATTAAATAAAGTAGTTGAAATTATTTTACACACGCAACTATAAAATATTATATTTTAATGCTTACACAATTAGATAACTGTATAAATGAATATTTTGGAATCCCTTTGAGATATTTAATTATATTTCTGAGAACTTTAATGTATAATTACTTTCGCTATCTTATAGGATGCATAAAAATATGAATCTGCAAGGGATGAACAAATCAAAGATATTTGAATAGAAATTTCTCCATTTGATAGTCCCAGGATTTTTGTAATATAATATTGTTGCTAACTGATAGCGCGCGGGAAATAATATCTCATTCATTATCACGCGATATCAATAGGAAACCTGTTTCGCGCCACGTGATTATTTTTGCGCACAATGAAACGCAATCGATTGGCCTCGTAAACTGTAATTCTACAGGATACATTTGTCGGTTTTTGTTTCCAATGTTTTATAAAATCGACATTCGACCTTTCGACCCACGCTTCCATCGTGCATTTAGCACAAAATGAAAGAGAGAGAGAGAGAGAGAAATGCTTTGCCATATTGGTCGTATCTTTACCGCGATTACGCGACAAATCTTGAGAATACGGAAAAGAGATAGGATATATATAATAATAGACACAGGATATATATAACCGATACATCCGACGATCGAATCCATTTATTCATCCGCCCGAGAAGAGCAGGAAGCGACTCAATTCGGGAGATATAATTTTAGATAGAGACACGTACACCACATCGCGCGCGACGTGGACCCGATACTCCCACACGCTCTATCAGCGATATTTCAACCCCCGCGCGAGGTCGGGGCACGTCGAATTTACGTCACACGATCATCTTGTTTTACGCGAGATCGTATTACGATTCGCGCGAGGCAAAAAAATTCCCCGCGAAGGAAAAAATGTTTTAAATTAACATTTGCAATCGTGATCTCTCTCGGTCACATGTGGGTGGAAAAGTTTCCGGTGGATAAAGATATCAGGATTATATCGGGAAAACTGTATGTTACGTATATATAACTCTTGGTCGTGTCAATAGAAGGACACTTAAACACGAATTTGATCTCTTAAGATTCTGCACAATCACCATTGACATTTGACATTGATTTTTCCTCTGTAAACCATACAATTTCTCCAATTTTCAACAGTATTTATCTCCGTAACTAAAAATATTTCGAATAATAAAATAAAACAAAATCCATTTTTTGACATTTGAGAGATGTACTCGATATCGATCATACGAGAAATTAAGCTCTCCGAAATTAGAATGGAATTTCAATCGCCGTGTGTGTGAATGATATCCCGGCGGGATCATAGAACGTTATGGATCCCCGACGAGCGAGAGTGATAGAGCGAGATAGATTGGGGATCGGAGCGCGCCATTTGCGTCCGTTAACACGATACTCCGGTCGAATCGAAGAGCAAAGCCCGTGGCAAATTCGCCTAGCAAACCATCGAGACACGGCCGTAACGGAGACAGGAAACCACTCGCGACGACGACACACGAGCTGTTGCGAGGGCGAGCTCTAACCCGAGGTGAAGGGATTAAACCATCCGCGTCCGCAATTATGTCGTGTATCGGTTATACGCGTTTCCCTCTGCCGTTAATCGAGCGTTTCGATTGACTCTCGTATTCTGCGACAACAAGAGACAAACTTTCCGATCTCTTTAATCCTTTTAACGCACGCGTGTTTCTTTAATAAAATAAATATCTAACGCATCTTGACAAAAAGAAAAAATGACTCGAACAATGCAAATAACTCGATCTGGACGATCTCAACGGATACAGACATTTTCTTTTGCAAGACATTTAAAATTCCATCGAGCCGAGTGATTGACGCGCGAAAATTAATCGTCCAACTTGACAATAAGAAACAAGACTAATTCGTCGGGAATCTTGCGGTGAGATTGTTTCTTATTATTCTGCCATGATGTATAAACTCCCTGCCAATTTAGGGACTATTTAATTAACTTTCGACACCCTCGCTTCCATTGACCGAGTCAGCGTTTCCGGGATTGAAATCCCCGAGATAAGAAAGGATGAGAGTTCTCGAGAGCCTTCATCGGGAAGGGGAAGGAGAGGGAGGAGCAGTAGGAACGAGTTAATCGTCGGTCGGAAAACATAAAGCGGAAAGAGT